TTTTTTTTGGTTGCAGCCATCATTGTTGTTTGGCGGGCCTGGGCTGGATTCGAACCCCCTCACCTTAGGTGTATGTGGCTGGTGCCTTAGCCACTTGAGCCACAGGCGCTGAGCCATAAGTGCTAATCTTTTATGATTAAATTCTGTCCAGAAGGAACTTCATTGAGTTTTTGAGCCAGAAGACTTCTTAGAGATTTGCCTGTCAGCAGCGGCCCACAGCAACAGAGAGGGTCACAGCCCTGTGGGTGGCCAGACCTCTCTTTCTCTGATCCAGATCTTGATTTCCATTTTTTTTTTGATGAGACTGCCTGAGCTCTATTATTATTCTTGTTGGTGGTCTACTATAGGCAAAAATGCTTAAAATTTAGTCCTTGCCATCGAATAGCTTCAGTTCACTTTGTTTATCTTGATTTCCCATATGAGTGACCTTTCTGAATAAGTAAATTTTACTTTTTTAAAATGACTACTATAGTATTGGCGCCTGTAGCTCAAGTGGCTAAGGCACCAGCCACATGCACCAGAGCTGGCGGGTTCAAATCCAGCCTAGGTCTGCCAAACAAGAATGACAAAAATTAGCCAGGCGTTGTGGTGGGTGCCGTAGTCTCAGCTACGCGGGAGGCTGAGGCAAGCGAATCACTTAAGCCCAGGAGTTGGAGATTGCTGTGATCTGTGATGCCATGGTACTCTACCCAGGATTACAGCTTGGGGCTCAGTCTCAAAAATAAATAAATAAATAAAATCACTACTATAATTAAAAAGCATAGAAAGAAAGAAAACTTGTTCTTGGTGACAGAAATCAAAATAAGTTGTATGAAGTTCTTTTCCTGAATAATTCTAGACATCTGCAGGTGGTTTCACCATCCTATTCTGTTCTTCCATAGTGGCTGTGTTAGTAAACTACTGTAGTTCATCCTATGTGAGAAAGAAGGTCAGGGAACTTACATCCCTTGAACACCAGACTTAAGTCACAGTGCACAGGCTCTGGCCTGCCTTATGTGGTTTGTGACACCTGCATGGTGTCTTCTATCTCAAATCTTTTGTGTGAGGTTGTGCATTGGATTACTGATGGAGCATTTCCAGTTAGGTGTGGCATTGCTCTGTATGAATGTGCATGTACCGCACCATCCTGTGGTTTTTAAAGTTATTTATTTTGTTATTTTTTATTTATTTTTGTTGTTGTCATTATTTGGCATTCCTGGGCAGGGTTCGAACCCACCAGCCCCAGTGCATGTGACCGGGGCCCTAACCACTGAGTTATGGGCGCCCGCCAAGCCACATCCTTTGGTCTTAAGTGTGGGTTTTGTGTTTGTTTTTGGACATGCAACATAATTATTTAAGTTTTAGATTCTGAGGGATGAAATGATATTAAATCTGTAGTAATATTACATTTTTAGTTAAGAAACGAGGCCAACAGATTTGTAATACTAATTTATTGGTAATAATCTGCCAGATGGTTTCTTTGGAAATATATCTTTGTATGGCTTGGTACCTGTAGCTCAAGCATCTAGGGCCCCAGCTATATACACCAGAGCTGGTAGGTTCAAATCCAGTCCAGGCCTGCCAAACAACAATGACAACTACAACCAAAAAATAGCTGGGCATTGTAGCAGGCACCTGTAAGTCCCAGCTACTTGGGAGGCTGAGGCAAGAGAATCGCTTAAGCCCAGGAGCTGGAGTTTGCTATGAGCTGTGGTGCCACAGCACTCTACCTAGGGCAATGCCATGTCTCAAAAAAAAAGAAAGAGAGCAGCTTGGGCAGTGGGAGGTGTGGCAGCAGCCAGGTTTGTGAAGGCTGTCGGCGCACCGAGACCCTCAGGCACCCAGCATGCGCCCTGCCCGCCGCCAAGATGCCCAAGAGGAAAGTCAGCTCTGCCGAAGGTGCAGGGAAGGAAGAGCCCAAGAGGAGGTCGACACGGTTGTCAGCTAAACCTGAAAAAGGCAGCAGGAAGGGATAAATCTTCAGACAAAAAAGTGCAACCGAAAGGGAAAAGAGGAGCAAAGGGAAAGCAGGCCGAAGTGGCCAACCAAGAAGCTAAAGAAGATTTACCAGCAGAAAACGGAGAAACTAAAACTGAGGAGAATCCAGCCGCTGACGAAGCAGGAGAGAAAGAAGTCAAGTCTGATTAATGTCATATACCATGTATTTTTTTTTTTTTTTTTTT